AAACAAAAATCAACCACAAAAATCATCACATAAGATGTGCACTTTGCTTTAACCCTTTTTTTAATTGGAGTTTTGTTTTTCCTCAGATATTTGTTTCTTTTTTTAATAAAAAAATTTATATTTTTATTTTTTTAGTTCAAAAAAACTAAAAAAAATAAATTTAATAATTTAGAATGACAAGTTCCTATTGTTCTTTATTACTTTCATTTTATGAACAGTTAAGAAAAGAAAAACGAATAGATGAAATTTTTGAAGAACTAAGAAATGATCCAATTACAAGATTAGATCAAACAAGTTTTATAAAACGATTTAAAGAGACATATTTTGGAAATGCAAATGAAATTGTTAATTTAACAAATCGAGAAGTTTTTACAATTGATATAGAACAAACGAATATTATAGATGATGGGATTCACATCGATATAGATAAAAAAAGTGGAATAACTGAATTAGGATTTCATTCACCGTATCTTACAAAAGAAGATATTCCTAAATTTGAAGAAATCATTTCAGATTTATTAACAAATGTTATTAATAATACAAAATATTCTTATGATATGAGTAAATCAAAAAAATTAAATAATAAAAGTCTGGAAATGGGTAAAAAAGAAAAATGTTTTAGTGTATTACTTTATATTGATTCAAATGGAAATATTATTAAAAGATGGTATGGGGTAACTTTAATATCAGTTCGTGGTAATTTATTTTATCCAAGAAGTTTAAAATTATCTGATTATGATAGTTTATGTAATTTACCATATAGTCTTAATTTATTTAAACATATTGAATCATTTACTTCTGAAATAATGACATCTAAATTAGAATCACTTAAAAAATGTATTGAATTAATTAATAAAAATATCTTGAACCCTCCTCCAATAGATAAAATTCATAACTTTGTTAAATGTATAGGTTATATATTATCTAATACAGTAGGAGTTGATTTGTTTCATATTTATAATAACCTAGCAATTGTTAATATTGATGTTTCTCGTAGTATTTGTTATTCTACTATTCGTTCTCCTTTAAGAAAATTTAGAGATGTATTAGTTCAGTCTCAATTTATTGCTATTATGAATGATTATAATGAACAACAAATGATTGAGTTTGTAACTGGGAAAAAAGAAATATCTAAAAATGAATTTCAAAAATTAATTCTTCATATTTGTTCAATTTAATTCATTTTTATAATTTTAATTTTGATTATCATTAAAATAAATACGATAAAAATAATGTAAATAAAGATAGATAATATTCTTGTTTATTTCCATGAATATATTTGTATTTTATTATGTTCAATTAATGTTTTATTCTTTAGATCCATAAAGAATTCCAATTCAAATGGTATATTAAATTCTTTCTTAAAGTCTTTAGAAATATTAAGATATGTTTTTGATAATGTTAATATATTATTTACACAAAATATTCCATAACATGCTTTTGAGGGTATAACAAAAATATTCTTTGGGTTCTTTTTTTCATATGATAATGGACTCATTGATTGTGGATTTTGTAGTGACACAAACCATCCTTTGGTATACCTTCCTTCTTGATATAATGCACAAAATCCAAAAATACTCTTATCAACTGTTTCAATAAAAATACTTACTTTAGGATATTGAAGATATAATGGATTTATACTTAATTCCTTTTCTCCCTTTTTCCAACTAAATACTCTTTTAAATTCATTGGTATTCATTAATTTATCTATTTCATGTAAATTCCTCTCGTTGCATAAACAAAGTAATATTGAGTCATTTGGATCAATTTTATAATTAACATTAATTTTATTATTTTCTTTAAATATTTTCATTGTTAAATCATTGTTATATAAAGTTGACTCTTTTTCAATTTTTTCTTCTGTGATTTTAGTTTGTCTATCTTTATTTAATTCTTCTTTCATTTTTTGAATTCTTGCATCAATGTCTAATTCCATTTGTTTCATACGTTCTTGTAAGTCTTCTTCTTTGAAAGGTTTGACATCTGTATTGGTATCTACTTCTTTCACTTCTTTATATAATTCATTAAATGGTTTAAATGATCTTCTACTTATAACATCCTGTTCTTCTATATCACATAATTTAAATACTATAAATTGTCTAAATTCTTTTTTATTACCACTATCAACTCCTGATATTTTTGAGAATGGTTTTATTTCTTTAAATTTAGTTGGTAGTTGGTCTTGTTTTCTAGAAACAACACACTTATAAGTTTTGAGATTAAACACTCCATTAAATTGAAGGAATTCATCATAGTCATTATTCTCAAATGTTATAATGGGGAATTTTGTAGGTACCGATGTATACTTTGTTATGAGAAGTTGTTCATTAATCACGAAGAAGAATTGAGAAGAGTTATTAAGTACTTGAATTGTTTTATTTTGCTTTCTTTGAGGAATGGTTTCATTTAGATACCACCCAAATATTTGTCCTGTTTCCATTTGTATTATCATAATTAATTGTTTTTTTCCAATGATACAATTCCAAAACTCATCAGGTTCTATTTTATTTTTTGTATTTGAATCAAAAAGAATTTTAATTCCTTTGTTTTGAACAAAAGAATTTAATTGGTCTCCTATTTCTTTACTTTGTATTAATTTTAAAAGATTAATATTATTCATTTGATAACATTCATTCATAGTTTTTAAATTCTTTGGTATATCATGTTTTTCTTTTTTAATTTCTTTTGGAAAAGAAAGTAATTTATTTACTACAACCTTTTTTATATCTTTTGTTTTACCACTTAATGTGCATACAAAAACTCTCTTAAAACCTATATGTCGTTGACTTTCTTCTCCAACTATTTCTGTAATAGAAGGACAGTCTTTAAATTTATTTTCTAAACGATGGCTCTTTGCAATCCATAGATTATGGTCATTTCTCAATTGAAATGCACCGTGAAATGTAAGTATTGTTCCATAAGTATTATAATTTGTTTTATTATAACTCATAATAACATTGTCATAATCTACTGAATTATAATACTTAATAGTGTCTTTTTTACTAACACAGAAAAAGAAATCTTTCTTTGTTTTAATAACCTCAAGAGTGTCTTTGGATTCCATTAATGGAATGGTACTGCATAAGAACCATCCAAAAATTGTTTGGTTATTCAGTTCAACTATCATTAGTATCTTTTTATTTCCACAAACACTTTCCCAAAACATCTTGTCGCTTAACTCTGGTAATGTATTACTATCAAATAAAATATAGCATTGAGAAGTTTTTAAATGAGAACACACAGCTCCAAGAATTTCTTTGGAGAGAATTCTATCTGTTACCAACACTTGTTGATCATTCTCTCTATCTTTTTGTAAGTTTGTTATTTGTTGTTTCTTTTTATTAAACGGTTGCAATTTACTTAAGTCTAATACAGACCCATTATCTAAGAAAATATTTTGGTATAAATTGATAATCATAACCTCTTTAACAATAAGTCCTACAGATGGGTTATAACCAATGACATGAGAAAAAGAACTAAAATCTAAATAATTCTTATCGTAATCACTTGTACATATTGCGTCACATGTTCCATCTATATTCCAAAGGAAGAAATCATGTAGATTTAACACATAAGTATCTCCTTTACCACCAAAAGAACATACTTTCTTTTGACTGTCGATACAATTATATTTTTTAACTGTAAGACTAGTTGGGTTTACACAGAATAAACAATGACCAAAGTCTTGAATAACAGTTATGTTTGAATTTACATCAAACTCTGAGAGAGACTTTTGGAAGAATATTCCAAGAACATTTCCATAATTAAATTTTAAAAAGATAAGAATATAAGAATATCCTTTAATACATTTCTGTATTTCAGAACCATCTATTTCATTCATTTGCTTATTTAACAATACTTTTGCATACTTTGTTTTGAATATATCAATTCCAATAGTTCCCAAAACTTCTTTATTTTTAATAACATCATCTAATGAAAAATCTGTTTCTGTGGTAATTTCATTTATTGGTAACTGTGCCTGCTCAATTACATTTTCATTTTCTTTAACTATTTTTTCCTGAACAATGTTTTCTAAATTCTTTAATTCTTCAATACTATTTTCTTGTATTTTTATTTCATCAACTTTCTTTTGTTCTTGGTCATTATTTATTAATGAATTAGTATCATAACAATTTATAAACATTTTATCATCTTCATTTGGTGCGTTAATAAATTTTAAAATCATCACTTCATCTACATTTATTTTTTTCCCAGAAGGACATCCTGTAATATTACTCAAATCAACAAGTTGTTTATATGATGTCTTGGTTTTACTATTAGCATATTCTACCCAAAATCCAGATTTTGACAAATAACCAATACCATTTAATTCCACCATAAAATTATTATTGCTACTACCAAATACACAAATAGTTCTGAACATACCTTTCATTTTATATATTTCCAATTCATTGTTATTCTTCCTATTTATATTAATAATTGCATGATTAAAATCATTCTCAACTTCAATTTGTCTTGGTTCTTTATAACATGGAATTTTCTTTTGTAAATATAATCCCATAACATTTCCATTATCAAAATACATAAAAAATACTAAGTTTGTTTGTTCTGATATTATTTTTGGTATTTCATTTTCTACAATATCTTTTGTTCTTTTATGTAACAATACTTTTGCATATTGAGAGTCAGCTAAATTGGTAGATATTTTTAATAATATGTCTTTAGTTTCAATCAATTTTGCTAATGCCAAATCAGAATAACACTGCTCTAACTCTTGCTTTGTTTGTTCTCTAAAACAATTATCATTAATAGATTTAAATTCTTGACTTATTTCTTCATTTTTTTCATTTTTAGAACTAGTAGTACAACATACTTGTGCTTGTTGCTTTAATAAAAATATTCTTTTTTGCACTGACTCTTTATTAAATGGAGGTTCCATCTGACTGAGTTTATCTTTTATTATATGTTTTTCATCTAATAACCCAGCAACTAAGTCATTATAAGTTTCATTATCACTGGCGTTAATGCTATCATCACAACTTATTTTCTCAATAATTTCATCAGAGTCTTTGTTAGAAAGTAAAATATTTGAAAAAGACACTAAGCAAAAACTAGTAAGTTTTGGTTCTTTTGAAAGAATATTGAAATGAGTATTTAAAGTAATTGGATTTTGTTCTTGAATCCAATTAAGTTTATCTGTACCTACCTTACCCAATCCATCAATTTTTAACAAGAAGTTTTGATCTTTTAATCCAAATGTTACTTTATTAAATATTGTACCTACATCTATTGATTCTAAATGAAGTTTAGTATATGATGTATTAAAAGTATAAATTTTTTGTGATGGACTCAATGAAAATACTATACCCATTGTAGGAATTATATCTGGTTGTTTTATGAGAGTTAAGAAAAAGACTTTTTTATAGTCTATTTCAATAAATAGACTAGCTGGTACCGAAACAGCTACTAGAGCACAAATGGTCTTTAAATTCTGTTTGATTGAATAAGTAGATGAAGATTGAAAAAGTAATTTTGCATATTGTTTTTTTGTTTGTAAACATAGGGGATATAATATTTTATTAGTACAAATAAAGTCAAACAAGTTTGTAGATTTAGTAAATACCTTAAAGATAATAGGAATTAAAGGCTCTTTACATTTAATAAGTTGAAACACTTTTAGAAGTTTATCTTTCTTTCTTCCTTCTTTAAACTTTATACTTTTTGAAACATTCATTATTGAATCAACTAAACTTGGTTGAGGAGGTTTAACATCAAAATAACTAAGTAATTGTTTTTGTATTTCATTGTTGATTAATAGAGGTAAGTCATTTTTAAAAGGTAATTGACTTTCTTTTATCTTTAATGTCTGTTCATGTAATTGTGTTGTGAGTGTGTTTAACTGATTTTTATGTTTGTCAAGACAATCATATAATTCTGTAACTATCTTAAATAAAGTTAAAAAAGATAATCTAAATCTTTGAACAATTGGATCATTATTTTTTGATGAATGTTCAATATCCTTAATTAAACCAGTACAAAACTTAATATACTCGTTAATACTTTCACGTGTAATTACAGAAGACATATTAACTTCGTATAATAAAAGAAGTTTAAATTAATCTAAGTCAAGAATGATGCAAAAACGATAAAATTTTTAAAAAAGTGAAAAAATAAAAGAACTTAAAATTAAAAAGAGAAAAACTTAAAAAATGAAAGAGAAAGAATGTCTCGAGTTCGACAGACATTATATCCACACTTAACATGGGAAATTCCTTCTCTCACAGTCAGTAGTGATGAAATAAAACAATGTGTTTTACAAGTTAATGGAAGTGCACCAGCAACTTTATTGTGCTCAAAAAATGGATATCAAAGTGAATTTTCAATGATTATTGATTCAATGATAGAACTAAACGAGATATTACAACAATGGACTCAAAAGAAAAAACAACAATTTGAAAGTGAAATAGGTGAAATGCAAAATGAACATTTAATAGAATGTGGGACATATGAAATTACTATTAAACAAAGTCTTTCTATATGTCATGTTACTGTAGTTCCAGGAGAATTTAATTCAATAAAAAGTAAATTAATAGAACCAATAGAAAGTAAAAAGAATGTAGTTGGAGATAAAATGTTTATTAAATATAGACCAGTTGATTTTAATGAAAATATGTTAAATTTTGAAAGTTTGCAATGTTCAATAACACATAACCACTCTAAAAAAACATTTAATATTAAATTATATAATTTAGGTGATTGTTATGGATCACCTATTCCAATATTTACTCAACAAGGTGGTTATACATTATCTATTTCATCTTCTGTACAACTTCTTTATAGCTCTACATTTTTTCTTAAAGCAGGTAAACTTGATATTACTAAATGTTTATTATTTCAAGACAAAACAATTATTACCAATTCAAAAGAAATAATTCATATTCAAAAGAAAATAGATTCAACTTTAACTCTTGTTGTTGGTAGACCATTAGAATTAAATATTTTATTATCAGACTCATTCGGAAATGTAATTAAAGAATTTGACTCAGCAATTCCAATTAGTGTACGTCATTCTCAACAATTAACTGTAACAATGAATGAAAGTATTCTTAAATTAAATGCACTTTCATCAGGGACTTTTAGTTTGAATGTATTACTCTTACAAAAACAAAATGGAGAATTAGAAAAAATTCCACTTTCTGGATTTCCAGTAACTGTTATTGCTTTAGAACCATTAGAATTAGATTTGTCACAAATTTCATTATGTAAAAAAGTTCCAGAATCTATGACAATTGGAGATTTATTAACTGTATCATTTGTAACATATAATAGTGAATTAGATGAAGTTGGTATTAACCAAATTCAATTAGTTGATGTTCAAGCATCAATTAATTCTATTCCAATACAAAGTTGTGTAATTTCAAGAGAATGTGGATTTGATGTAAATATATGGGTATGTCTTCCAGGAATATTGACTGTATCTATTTCAATTGATGGACATATGATTAAAGGATTTCCAACTACAATTAATATTGAACATCCTTCTTTTGTTAAATTTTCTTAAAAAAAAAAATATTAATAATTGATTGTTTAAACCCTATTTTATAGTTCTATTTGAAAATATATCTTTTTCATTTCTTATGAACAACGAACAAATAGAAGAATATGAATCATTAAAAGAAGTTTTTAAATATAATGACTTAATTAATTTTAATAAAATAGACCAAAATCATTATCGAGTTCATATTTGTTTTTCTTCTTCTTGTTCTTTAATTCTATTTTATTATTTACCAAATAATTATCCCTTTGAAGAAATTCCTCGTTTTGAAGCAAAAACAAAAAAAAATTGGTTAAATGATGGTCAGTTAAATGTTTGCGTTGACGAAGCTGAAAGAATAGCAAATGAATATAAAGGAGAACAGTGTATTTATGCAATTGTTGATTATTTACAAAGTGAAGAATTTCTTCAAAAAATTAATGCTAAAATTTATAAAGATGATGAAGCAGAAAAAGAGATTCAAGCAAAACAAGAAATTCTTTCTAAAGAAGAAAATGAAGAAAGTGTTATTCATGGACTTTCAGTAAAAGGAATTCCTATTTTTGTTTCTAATCCAATTAATGATCGTAAAAGTAAGTTTATTGCATTTGCTGCACCAGTAACTAATGAAAAAGAAGTTAGAATTGTATTTGAAGAGTTATTAAGAAATAAAAAGATATCAATAGCAACTCATAATATCCAAGCTTATAGACTAGAAATAAACGATTCTATTATTTGTGATTTTGATGATGATGGTGAACATGCTGCTGGTAAACAATTATTAAAAAGTCTTGAACAAATATCTGCAACTAATGTTTGTGTTATGGTTTCACGTTGGTTTGGAGGAATATTATTAGGACCTGACAGGTTTAAAGATATCATAATGGCTGCACAAGATGCCATTAATATTATGAATACATCTTTACAAACAACAAGTACTACAAAAGTAAAGAAGAATTAATTTATTTAAAACAAACAACGGTATATACTTATTTTTGGCTAATATAATCAAGTTCTTTTGAATCAATTTGAATTTCTTTTCTTGAAGGAAAAATTTTTCCATTAGGTCTATTAATAAATGAATCATCACTTTTTTCTTCTTCTACTTCACGTGGAATAATAGAAATACTTTCTCGACTTAATCCAGAATTAATAAGACTAGACAAATTTGGTTTATCAAAAGAAAATAAACTTGTCTCTTCATTTTTTTCAGATAGCTTTTTAGGATCTTCTATGATTGTATCTAATTTAAAATTATCTACGTCTTCAAAATATTTCTTTTTCTCTTCAAGATATTCCTTTAATTCATCTCTTTCTTTTTCTTCTAGTTTTCTTTGTTCTTCTTCTTTATTATTTCTTTTCCTTGCTTTTTTTTCTTCAGTTGATTTTCTGCTTGAACTAGATGATCTTCTTCGTGGCATGAAATAGAATTGTAGAAACAAAGTTCTTTCTTCACAGTTCTAATAATTGTTTCTCATCAAATAGAAACCTCAATTTAAAAAAAATATAACAAATAATAAATTATGTGATTAAGTAGTATTAAAAACATTATTTAAATTGCTTCTTCATATTTAGCAATTTATTGATACGAAACTTCTACGCACTAAAGGAATATTACTTGTAGGTAGTTCAACATCAGAAAAATTATCTGTTTTACCCATACATTGACGTGCTCGTTGTGAAACTAAAATATCAACAGGATTATTTGAAGTAACTTTGTTATAGTATTTCTTTAGTCTCTTCTTACTTACATAAGGAACAATCATTTTCACAGATGGACATGAAATTTTTAAATCTCTCATCTTTTCATTATTTAAGTCAATAATTTCTGTTAATCGTTCACAATCAAAAACATATAATTTAGTTAATGTTGTAGGTAAACAAAGAGATACAACTGTAGAACAATCATTTACTTTTAATTCTTCTATTTTTAATGAACTAAGAGAAGGGAATGGAGTAACATTAAAACATGAAAATGACAATGATCTTAATGAAGCAGGAAATGATAATTGTATAGGGTTGTATGAATGAATTCTTGATAAAGAAAGGTCTATTAATGAGTCATGATGTGAAAGGTTTAGTTCCTTAACATTTGTAAAAAGATCTTTATTTCCAAATATTGAAACTTTAGAAGGATAATATAAATTCCATGCACTTTCAACTTCATCAGTTTCAACAATATCTGGAGCAATAATAAATAATTTTTTTTGATCAATTAATAAAGGAATAGAATGATTAATAAGGAAAGGAGAGATATTATTAAAGACAGAACAAATTTTACAATAGGAATGTATTTCTTTTAATTCATTATAAATAGAGTCTTTTAATCCAATGACTCTCAATAATATTTCTATTCTAATTTTATTTAATTGTTTAATATAAGGAAGAAATTGTAATACTCCACTTGCAGCACATTCAATAATTAATTTAGTAAAATGAGGTAAGACATTTAGTATTGGTGAAATAAGTTCAAGTGATTGTTCATTAACATTAAACCCATAATTAATATGTAACCTTCTCAATGATTTAAATCGAGTAAAATCAAATCTAGTATCAACATTAGTATATATAAATAATGTTAATTCAGTTATTTTATCAGTTATATCATATTCTTTAATTTTTATTAAGTCAAATGGTTGTAAAAGTTTTAATGATAAATTAAAACATTGTACATTTTTAATAAGAGTAAATGGAATATTTAAAAGTACTTCATAATCACAACTTAATGTTTGAATCCCATCAAATGTTCTTAATTCTCCAATTATTCCTTTTGTTTTACTACTTAATTGTGATGATTTACTTTCTCCTTCTACATTAACAATATTTGGATTTCTTAATAAACAATGAGTAGCATTTAAACATTTACTATTTATTAGTGCAAATCTTCTAGCATTCATATAATCAAGATATAACACTACATTTAATAAATAAAGATGTTCTAATTGGACTTTCATCACTTTAAATCTCTAAATCTTTTTTTTGTTCTTTTAAGTCAAAGATTTTTTTTTTGATTTTTTCATGCTTCACCTTTTTTACTTATTTTAAAAAAATTTGTTATTATTATTCATTTTCTTTTTATTTTTTACTATTTTTTAATTCTTTTTATTATTTCTTTTATCGTTTCTTTAAAAATAGATCATTAAAAGGTGAAGTTTTTTATTTTCAAATTTTTAATATTATTGTAATATATAACAAAAATAAATTATTTAATGAATTTATCCATAAAATGTTGATGATATTCATTACGTAAAGTATCATTAATGTATTTGGCTTGTTTAGGAGGTTCTTTTGCTTGATTTTTAAATACAACATCATCATACCATTTTCTTTGAACTAACCCATCAGAAAAGTATTGTTGAGAATCAGATGAGTTTTCAAACTCTTCTTCTTCCATTTCTTCATACTCTTTTTTAAGAGCCTCTTCAGTATCTTCACTTTCAATTTCTTCTTTAATTTCTTCTTTAATTTCTTCTTCTTTAATTTCTTCTTCTTTAATTTTTTGTTTATCACTACTTTCTTTATATTCAATTTTTTTAGGTTTTAGTTCTTCTTGTTTTTTATTGGTATTTTCTAACATTTCTCTTGTTATTAGTTGGTCCACTTTTCTTTTCTTTAATTCTGGTTGTACAATAACGTCTTGTGCAGAAACTTGTTTTGATGGTACATAATTGATTCCTCCTTGGTGTTTACTTCCTCTTGCTGAATACCATGTTGGTCTACCAACGTTTGTCATATTTAATAATTTGAAGTTTTTTAATTTTAATTCTCCTAATTGTTTTCAACCAATGTCTTCTTACCATACCTTCTTATTTATTTTTCTTTTTTCTTATCAACACTTTTCTAATCTTCTTTTTTTATTAATCTTTATTTTATTCTTTACAACTTATTTACATTTGTTGTTGGGATTTACCTTTCTTCTTTTGTTTTGCCTTGAACCTCTTTTATTTTTTTTTGTTTTGGTTGTATAGTGTTGTGTTTGACTTTTAGTTCAATAGAATAATATACCTCATCATTTTTTTATCAGTTTGTCATTACCAATTGCTGAAGAAAAAGTGAAGTATTATCGTTGTTCATTCCATTAATCTCCAGGATGGTAAATATACATTATTCATAATTAATGAATCGTCAAATAATTTGAAGTACATAGGTGGTGTGTTATGACTAAACCCAGTGAAGTTAGTTACCTAGTCATTTGTTGAACATAATAATAACTGAAGGGATATAGGTGTTTCATAATGATATTAACAAATATTGCACAGAGACGTATTATTGAATTAAGAAGAATTTCTTTTAGACTAATATAACTAAAGTTGGTTAATGAGTAGAAAAGACAGAATAAAATTTAATGAAAACAATAAAAAAAAAGAATAAAATACGAAGAAGTAATGAAGAATGATAATACATTAAGTGAAAATGAATTTATGACATAAATCAAAAACATATAAGCAAACTCCAAGGAATAATTACAAAACAATACACATAAAAAATAAGTAGTGATTTAGAAAAACTACAATTAAAAACAATAAAAACAATAAGAAATGTCCTATCAACCATCAATTGTGAAACATTTTTTGACAAACAAAATTAGTGAAATCGTAAAAAACAAAAATAACAAAACCGAAAAAAGATTTTATATTCAAAAGATCAATAAATTTAATGTCATAATGAAGAAATTCTATAATGCAATTCACATAAAAGGGGTTGGTTCATTTTTATGAGGAGAATTAAATATTTTGATATCAATAATTAACAGAATGTTAAAAAAACGTCATGTTAGTTGTTTTTCAAATAATTAGAAGAAAAATAATAATTTATACTATAAAATTAGTAATGAAAAAATAAGAAAAAAAGGAAAAGAAAGAAAAAAGAAATAGAAAGGTTCAATAAATGAACCAAATAAAAGAAATATCATTTCAAACTATGGAAAGAAAGAAGTAAAAAGTGAAAGAAAATCAGAAGGTTCAAAAAATTGATGTTTCAAATAATCAGGAGAAGCCACTGGAATAAGAAGATTATTCTGAACCTATTAATATCATTTGGAATGTAAACACTGGTAATTCATTGAGATGCAAATTCAAGACAAAACCACTTTACTTAAGATATTTGACGAACAAGAATCTATTTTAAAAGAATTGTTTAGTGTTACAAGTCATTCACTTTCAATACCTGATGGAACTTTGGGTACACATAGGTATTGGAGTAATGATGAACATACTAGATTTATGGTTTGTCTTTGTTTTCTCAATGCAACAGCTTGTAAAGGACTTCCTGTTTTAAAAATAGCCAAATACGTAAAAACTAGAACATCAGTACAAGTACGAACTCATGCCCAGAAATATTTCTCAGATAAAAGGAAAATTCATCACACCGACCCTCTTATAATTAGTTCTATGAGAGCTGACATTGAAACATTGCGAAAAATCTTTGGGAGAGAAAAACCTGTTATGATATACCGATCTTTGTGAAATAAAAAAAAAGAATTGTTAATTAAAAACTATTATTTGATACTTTCATTTAAAATCATTCTTTTTTTTTAGTTAAAAATCAATGAGTGTAAGAAGTTCCAAATTACCAGAAACAACCTCAAACGTTTCAGAGAATCCTGATCTTATTCATCAAACTTCACAACCCCAAATTAAGGAGAATGATCAAAATAAAATGTCAAATCGTCCATTATTAGAACGTTTTGAACCAGGAGTATTACAAATATTTTTTAAATTCACTGTGCTTATGTTTTTAGTACCACTTTTCTTGTTCTTTACTTTAAGAAACCCTTTAGGTTTGTTATTATTTGTTTATTATTTTTTTTTATTCTTTGTAGTTTTATGACACGCTAATTACTTATTTAAAAGGAGATATAGTTGCACTTGTTTTTTGTTTGTTTTCATCTATGATTATTATTGCTTCATTCGTTTATTTTGCTTTCCATGAAGATGACAATAACAACAAATAAGTTAATAATTTTTCTTTTTAAACCTTAGTTTATGTTATTTCAATGAAGAAAAATAATATTAATTCATTTTGTTTTTATTGTTTATTAATCTAAAGAAATATATTATACTTCTATCATTTATCAGTTAGGTATACTTCTTTGGGTATTATTTGAGTATTAAATGTTGTTATTCTGTGGTTATAGTATTGGGTGTTGTCATATTATTATTATTATTTGGTTTTGTACATTATTTATTCATTATTATTATTATTAATTATTTTATCTACTTATTTAATTAATATTGCATTTATATCAATTAAAATTTAAACACAGAAATAAGTTGACTATAAAATTAATATTAAAATTCTTTGTATTTATAAAGTGAAGTGCATCTGAATAGAATCTAAGAATATAACTGAAGTAAGAAATTAAAGAAAAATTGTTTATTTCTTAAAATATTATTTAATTTATTTTTTAGCATTGGAACATCTTAAATATAATTGGTTTATTTGCTGAATTTTACTTGAATATATTTATATATTTGAATATTTCACTTCTCCTTTCTTTTATATCTTTCATTTTTTCATTTTCTTTGTAATTTTTCCATTTAATGAAATAACAATTACATTATGATTTACTAGTTCATATAAAATAAAAACGAATAAAACCAAAATGAATTATATCCATTTTCATATTTATAATTTCTATATTACTAGTGAAGTGAAATGATATTATCCTGTTTGATTTTCATTAATGCTTTCTGTTCAAATAGAACAAAAGTAATAAAAAATAGTAAACTTTTATAATGAATTTTGTTTTTGTATGAAACAATAAGAAATTATTTTATAGAGTGTTGATTTGATAAAGTTTCATATTTATATAATAGTTAATTATAACACAATTTGTTTTCTCAGTTTTTTAAACAAGAATATCATCACATCCTAACTTAAACAAATAACAATTGTTTTGTTCTTTCTTTAAAACAATTGGACTTTAATTTATTTGTCATATAATTTTATTTATCTTTATTATAAATTTAGTTTTAGTTTTAGTTATTTTTATGAATATAATAAGAAATTTCAAAAATATTCCTTACGTATTAAAGAAAAGTACTTTGTTAATAACAGAATCAATTAAGTCAATATAACGAACCTTTGTTTGCTTATTTCTGTATTCGTTAATTTTTCTTATTTTATTTTCATTTGCTGATATTCTCAAATACATTCGTAATACGAATAAAAACATATAAAAATAACAGTCATTAAAATATACTAAATCTTTTATCATCTTATATTCTTCTTGAAAATATTACTAAGTATAATAAATATGCTAAGAAACGATTAAAATTATTCAAAATTGCAAATACAATATGAACTAATCATAATAATAGTTGAAATATTCATAAAATTAAAAACAACAAATTTCATACTTTAACACTCATTTAACTAAAATAGTATTAGTTAAATAAAATATTGATGATACTGAATATTGAATTTAAATCTCTTCATTCAACTCTTTATAATGCATCTCATTAACATCGTCAAATTAAATAGTTTATTCAACTAAAAAATTGCCAATGAACATTATGATAAATGAGAAAATTAGAAAGCTCAATCAAAACTACTATTAGTAAAAATATTATTCTTGTTGTTAATGTTCAATGTCAAAATATTACAAGATGATTCAATTTTATAATATTAATTCTTAATGTATTAATGTTATACTGTTGGTAAATGCAAAATACAAGAAAATAATCAAATAAATAATCATAGTAGTAAAAACATAATGAAAATCATCGAATATCATTATTATTCTTTTCTTTAGTAAATAGAATAATAACAATAGAATAACTCATACATTGTATGTTATTGATAATATTTATTCAAATAGTAATTATTTTATTTTTCAGTTTTATTTTTAAATCATACATATATATCAATAAATTTATTAGTAAAAGTTTTCAATTAATTGCAGTTATCTTCTTTTGTACATTTTGAGCAATATCACAATGTTATTAAATATAATATATACACTATTATTACAACTTCATTTAAGAAAGCTTAATAAGTTAAATGTATTATTCTTTGAATATTGTTGAAATGATTAATGATATTTATATCCTATGTG